CGGCTGAGCATCAACCAGTACCAAGATCCGAAGAGATCTGCTACATACCTTCTGAGAAGACTGCTCGGATGCTGTGGTTCAGGATTGTGATTCAGCTAGTGCAGTTGCAGCCTTGGACAAGAAGTTGTTATGCTATATGTTGAACGAAGGGGCACTTGATCGACTCTGCATCCCTCCAGTGGCTGAACGAACTGAGGCGCTGCCCAGGGAGACCGGGGGAAAACAAAGGTTATACATAAGAAAGGCGGATGGATACAGACTACATGCCCCGTGATTAGCGTGTTCGTTTCGAATACCCCTGAATAGTATGAGTACGACTATGTATGTAGGATGAAAAGATAGTGTAGATCGATCACTCGGCCCCGTTCTCGTCCTCGTCGACGCTTCCATCTCCGTCCGCATCCTGCTCGACCATCCCGACCTCGTATTCACCGCAGACGTCCCACCGCGAGCCCTCGGCGAGCGCGGAGACGTACTTCACGAAGCGCATCACGCGCTCGTCTCGCAGAACCAGCAACAGCCGGTTGTACCCCGGCTGAACGGTAAGCAGGGTGCTGTCCTCTTCCTCTTCACCGTCGACCTCCATCGATTCACGTCCCTCGGCTTCTCCGTCCGAGTCTCCATCTTCGATGTCCTCGTTCCCATTGGCGTGCCCGTTCGTATCGGCATTAGCGCTCGCAGGCTTTTTGATGGTCCCCGCGCGGTAGACGGCGGGATCGTCCTCCTCGTTGTGCGGCGCCATGTAGCATTCCCAGCCGCCCCATTCTGCTGCCTGCCAGCCGCGGGGCTTGACCTCCCGGGTTTTGCGAGTTCGTTTCTTGCCTGCCGGATCTGGGCCGGCGTCTTCCTGGAGCACCTCCGGCGTCAGTCCGAGCACCACGTCCAGCCGGGCCTCCTTCTCTTCGCTCGTCGCAAGGGTGTAGTCCAACCCGGGCCGGAACCTCCGGGCCTCCACTGCATATCGTGTCGGGAGCAATCGCGAGACAATCGCGATCCAGGCTCGGAAGGCTGGCGAGGAGAACAGCTCGTCCTGGACAGCCCGTAGGATGTCGTCGGACGATCCGGCAGCCAGGGGTGTCACGGCCTGCACCGGGGCCAACGCGTCGTGGGGCCGAAGCGTGCAGTAGCGCCACTTGTGGGGTGGCCCCCGGATATCCCACGCTCCCTTTGTTCCCGACTCGTGGGGCGGAACTTTCCCGAGTCGATCTGGGCCTAGACCATCAGCGGCGTCCAGCTCGCGTAATCTCGGCCCCAGAGCATGTGCCAGATCATTGGAGAGGAACGAGTGCAGTTCCAGCGAGGATTCTTCCACGAATCGGGCTGCGAGCGCTTTCATCGTGCGCGGCTGCAAATAGACTGGATTTAGAAATTCGGAGAGGAAAGCCGTGTGTTCCTCCGACAAGGCCTCCTCAGGCTCTAGATCTGTAGGATATTCTTTGAACGCAGTCGAGCTCATAGCCTGGACCACATCGTGAGCGGGGAGAACATGCATACATAAGTCGAATACTGGACGTACCAGCTGCTCACGCGAGCTTTTGGGCACACCTTCCGCTGGTTCCGGAACGTACCCGTCCTCGCCCTCCTGCGCAGCGTGGAACCACCCGCTGATGCTCAACCGCGCACGCCCGTCCTCGCCTTCTCCACCCACAACAACCTCCTCCACCGAATGGAAGCTCTCGCCCGGCTGGACCTCGAAGAAGATGAACTGATTCCAGCTCGGGGGGATGCTTTTGCTCGGCATGCACACGGGCTCGCGCTCGCCGTCGGGGCCAACGACGGTTGCGTAGAGCTCGAGCGCCCCGCCCCAGTCCTTCTGCCAGTACTGGAAATGCGGCAGGGGCATGTAGAGGATGTACGAGACGCGCCGGGAGCCAATCACGTCGTCGTGGTTCAGCAGGTGGCACCCGCGCGTATACGAGTTGACGGACATGTCGCGTTTCGTGCCAGAGAGCGGCCCGCACCCTGTCACGGCGCGCAGGAACTCGCGGAACTTGGGGGAGTAGAGCGCATCGCGCAGCGCGAGGAGACTCGGGAGAAGCGATATTTGGGAGGACGTGAGGAAGTTCAGCGACGCCAGGTCGCCGGTTTGGTTCACCTGCGAATGCAGCGCTATGAGTGTGTCCCCGTCTGACGTAGACACGCACGAGATGGAAGACGAACCTTGTAGATGTCCGTCTCCTTCTCTGTGAAGCTCAGTTCGCTCATGCATTCGTCCTTGACCTTCTGGAGCAGGTCGTCCTGGAAGAGCTTTTCCACTACCGCGTACTTGAACGGAGCGCTCCCTTCGTATGCCGAATTCAGCTTGGCGATTGTGGAGTGTAGGAGTACGTCCTCGGCAAAACGCGACGTGGGGTCGACAGGTGCGCCGGGTGTGTGTCCATTCGAGCCGTTAACATGCCCGTTCGAGAACGGGGATCCGTTAACCGTGGGTAGGACCTGCGAGACGTGCGTCGATTTCAGTTTCTTCGCGAGCGTTGCGTCGGTGGGGCCCGGTGACGGCGATCGCCTGTGCGTGCGCGCCATTTTAGCGAAGGAGGGGGATACGGTGGGGATGGTGGGCGTGGTGGTGGTGGCAGTAGACGACTCCAGGGCTGGACGAGGATTTTGGGTGTGAAAACGAAGAGAATTGTCTTCGCGATCGAGCGTCAGAAGTTGTAAGCTATGTATATGTATCAGGGCGCCGGCAACAAATCTGGTTTTTCACATCAACCGTGTTCGAGACTGGGAGTCGAGATCCTGTGGGGTCACGTTTCTTCCTCAAGCCCTCCCTGCACCCGGATCCCTCGATAGCTCGGTCCCTCCGCATCTCGTTCAGCACATAGCTTATCGGGAACTTGCTCCGTGTCCCTGCGTCGTACTTGCCACTGATTGCGATCGCGAAATAGACCGATCGAAAAATCAAGAACAGAAACCAGTCGATAGCACCGCAGTCTCCGGCGAGGATCTAGATGGCTGGTCCAGAGGGGACGGACGCCGGGCCAAACTTTCGTCCGGCAAGTATTGAATGTCATGAACCTGAAGCGCCGGCCACGCGGCGTCCTCTTGTGCTTGTGCCCTGCCGTTCTGATGGGCTGTCTTTCAAGCATTCCCAGCACGTCTTGATGTTCTCGCTGGATCCAGCAGGGCTCACTTCCATTCTCTGTGATCCATCCCTTCATCGCCATGCTCTCCAGATCTCATGGAGCCCGAACCCGCGCATGAGATTCCCTTTCGAACACCCAGCCTGCGACTTTGGCGATCGCAAGGCGCTTCGGCACCAGCAAGTCCAGCCGTGATGCTGGCAGATATCCATCGATGTGTCTCAACGCCTCGCTGTCGGATTTGCCCTCGACATCCCGACGCCCAATCAGCATTTCGCCGGACGTTCTCGGGCCTGGCACGTCGTCACTGCTGACCTAGCAAGTGTGGCGCGTGTGTGTGTGGACTCCATGTCTATATAAACATCTTCCCCCGCTCCGCAGTCAACTTTGTTTCCATTGCATCCGTCGGATGAACGCCACTGGACCGACCCAGATCAATGTTTAGGTCACGATGGTTTGTTCAATTGTGTGTGTTGACGCCGTTTTTCCCAGCTTTTCGAGTCCTGGACGTGGCTAGATTGGTCTCGAAACTTTCGATGTCCAACACTGACCCCAAAGAACCTGAATACATAGCAATAGATATCCTACACTTCCTTCACAGAACTCTCGTCCACCTCGTTCAGCTCGTACGCCTCGTACTCGTCGCTCTCCAATCCGTCTTCTTCTTCGTCTCGTTCCTCGCTAGTCACACGTCCCCTCGCGCTCGAGCGTCGCGGGCGATGCGAAGTCGCGTGAGGCGAGATGCCCACATCGAAGTCTGCTGCGTACGAGTCGGCGAAAACGAGCATGCCGGCTTCTGCCGTGGTGGTCTTGGATTGCCGGAGCTCGGTGTCGAATTCGCTCATCGCGGGTCCATGCATCGAGCGGATATTGATAATCATGCTCGACACCGCGATGCACGATATTGCTGCCGTCGGGCTTGGCTCATGGTCATGATGAGTTCGGGGAAATATGCGCGGTTGCGTACCCGAGTAGGACAGATCGGAAATAAGAATCGAACGCGATTTCGTACAACAGCGCATTGGCAAGCGTGAGAGCTGGAATAGCCGTTATAAAAATATTGTCAAGACCTGCGCACTTACCAAATATCAGCACGAAGTAAATTAGAGAATCTCGGGCAAGCAGATCCAGTCTACAAAGTATTCAAGACCACCGTTGACCAAGGAAAAGACCAGCTCTTACGTTACATTGCCGGGACCTATTGCCAAGGGGAATATCTTGATCAGGATGGGCCACCGTCTCATGTATTTCATGGGGAGAGGAGGTGTCACTTTCAGCAACGTGATGATGACAATGATCACTGCCCGAGAAGAGGATCAGCACGGGAGGATCACCCAGATCATGACGGGCGAACATTCGAAGCAGACGGGAGCTATCCTGCGCTGGAGATGAGAGCTGGGCGTGATCTGCTTCGGAAATGCGTTACCAAGTAGCACTGGCATATTGGCCTAGATGAGGGCTCAGCGGACGAAGATCACATCCTAGTGGCTGGGGATCCAGAGCTCCTATCGCCGCATATGTTACCAACTGTCATGCAACAAACCTGATCGCTCTGACCTTGTGTTTCTTGGATTGCCAAGGACAAGAACCCTACGAGAGCCGCCGTCTCCGCTGTGTGAAGCTCGTTCAATGTGACATCCGTGCACCCGATAACAAGACAGACCTGCGAACAGTGTGCTTAGAACCACGAACATGAGCTAAGAGAATCTTAGGAAGTCTGGTCAGAGAAGGTTGGAAAGTGTCAATACCCGACTGTTGTTATCTGCGGACGAGGCTCAGCGGCGATCCGGACGCGTGCAGTAACAAGAACGACGTACAGATGGCCCACAATCTGATGACCATCACTGCTTGGGCGGCAAGGATGGCTAGCCGTGACGGACTGGCATGTGTAGTTGGGGCGGGAGTTCCCGGTGAGCTGGGAGCGGACGCACATTGCTTGCCAGTACACGTATAAGTGGCAGAACTCTGGCGACGGTGTCGGCCACGCGCTCGAGATCCAGTTCATGCTGCCGCAAATAAACACGAAGCGAAGGACCCGGAGGTTCAAGGACGCACATTAGAAGTATTCGTGCCACATATCGATTCAGGAAGAACAGAAACTTCGGCAGGCGCCATCGGAGACTGCGCGATCGAAATGTGAGCCCAAAAATTCTGGGAAGAGAGCAGCACGCCACGCACGACCAGACGCGTTCCACCTCTTGATCGAAGGTCACCAGAATCTCGTAGATAAGCAGCGTCGCCGTCGCATCTAACCGCTCGGAATAAGTGGGCTGTAGACGGAGGAACAGCGCATGCACGCACATAGGATGTAGTTCTCCACTCGCGTAAAATACACGTCCGGAATGGCCTGGTCCAGCGGGAATTCGCTCGTGTTGGCAATGACGATAGGCCCAGGCATCGGACAGTCGCGTGGGCCGACGAACAGACGAATGGACGGGCGGGGAACACGGGCGCAAGGCCGGACCTGCAAGCGCGCGCGACCCACCAACAAGTTGAGGCTTAAAATTACTCAAGCAGGTCGATAAGGCTGTTCCTGAAGCCTTGACGATCTGCAATCAGAGATATCACGCCAGCCGCAAGATCGGTGTCATCAGGCCCGGCTGGACCCTCGTGTCCGGCGTGTGGAGAATCTGTCCGTGTGTGCGGGATCATATTTGAAAAGCCGCCTTCAAAAATAGGCACCGAGAGAGAGAGGGGTATAGCAGGGAATGGCGTTGGTCCGGGAAAAAAATCGGGTTTTCGTTTCGGTCGCAATAGCTAAGGTGATAACGGGCGTTGCCGGTAGACGCTGTCAACAACTAGTACGATCGATCAATAAGATAGGTACGGGGCCGCCGGTCCGCTCTCGGAGTCTCATATGTACAATCTACGCAGATCAGAATCCATTGCATGCATGCAATTGACGATATCAGCGCTTCACAGCACGACCTTCAAGAGCTCCCGGAAGTTGGGCGTCCCAAGTCCAGTGACTACATGCTATGAGGCAGGTCAACACGTCGAGAGTGCGCAGCCACGCACCAGGATCCCAACCCTCTGTAGCCTGAAGATGTAGTCAATACCCTGGCAGGAGATCTCAGCTGGAGGACGACGACCTACATTGAATCCACCGGTCCCGCAGCCCGGATTTCTCCCCTCGACGATATCATTCAGCGCATGTACCCCACGTTTATACAACAGCGGGTTCAAGAATCCGAGCGCCGGTCGGCCCCGGGCCAGCCGTGCGTCGTTGAGGAGGGCGACGATTCCCGCGAAGGTCGGGGCTGAGGCCGAGGTGCCGCCAATGGTGATCGGGCTCCCCTGCCAGTAGATGGAGAACTTGTGAGATTGCGCCGAAACGTCTGGGATCCCCTGTGCAGAGCCTTCGTCAGTGGGGTGTGTAATCGTGGGCCAAGGAAAGGAAAGCTACTCTTCCGCCCCTGGACATCGGAGATGAGCTGCTGCTCCATGCCAAGTGCGCGACTGCCAAACGCACCGATTGAACAGTCCCTCGTACGTCTTGGGGGGAAGCTTGTGGAGATATCTCTCGACAGCCTTATGCTGATACGCTGGCCTGAATCAGGTCAGTGACTGCCGCATAGAGCCAACTGTGGCGCTTACCTCTCAAAGTAATCGCTGAAACCGCCGCCACTGAAAGCGGCCGCCACCTCTGGAATACCCATCGTCCCACCGACCGCAGTCACACTTCGATTTGTCAGACGACATCCCGAGCGAAGAACAGACAGCGCGCACTAGGGACAGGAGCTGATTGTCGATGGCGTGAGGCTAACATCTGAATAATCATTCAGCCACTCACGCTGGGAACGCTGGGATAAATCTAGACATATCAGCATCTTGCAGCCCCAATGACAACCCATCGACAGACACACACACCTTGTCCGATGCCTCGTCGTACTGAGACATTGCTGTGACTCTGCTTCAGGATCTCCGTCCCCGACACCGTAATCTCCGCTCGCAAATATCACCGAGACACCTCGACAGCCTACCGTGTGTGCGGGTGTTAATGCGCCCGGGTGGCGAGACAGCACTCGCACCTAGTTCGGCAAAGCGCTTGCAGACGCGTCGTGCGTAAGCACTGGGAACTGCACCCGGATTCAGTAGCTGCGCATATCCGCAAACGGCGACGGACCGGTCTGCTCGTCGTCCGCATAGGAAGTCGTTATGGTCTGCGGAAGGCGGTCGGAGCGGAGAACATGATCAAGCCACTGTCAGAAGAGTTGCCGATCGGTCTCCAAATCAAACTGGCTTGCAACGCACAGTCATGTAAGGCTCGTTGTCCGCTGATACGCACAAATGAGATCGAATGACGAGACCGAGAAGATGTACGTGCGATCATGCACCCGAGCGTCAGGGTGGAATGGGCCATTCCCGGCCGTCGACCAGAACGTCCCCGGGGTCGGGTAGGCGAGGCCAAGCGCGTATTGCACGTCGAGATTCGCCTCTTCTCCAGCAGCCGACAGACTTTGGTTGTTCGCACCGCCTTATCGGGGAAAGTCAGCAGCGGCGGTGGGGAGGCAGGAAGGACAGACCGTTCACCGAAACGAACCGAAAGCTCGAGCCTTCAGCCTCGGGCAGCTGATCGCGGTAAAAAGAAGCCAGATCCTTGTGATTAGCGTACTGATCGAGAAACCCCGTAATGCCGATCGCGTTCTTCTTGGGGGCCCTCGGGGTGTATCCATCCGCGCTGTAAAGCTGCCTCAGACAGGCGAGCGTGATCATTGTTCCGCAGTCAGAGTCGACGGCATGCTTATCCTCCGCGGGCCTTGCTACCCGCTTCGGTGATCGCGCAAACATCGTGGTGGGCTGGATAAGCTCAACGTGCTCGTGTAGGTACCCCGGCAGACTGTAGCTCGTCGTACGAGCAAGAAGCTCCCCGTCGTCGTGTCGCCAGATAAAGTATTCCTGCAGATCCGCTCAGTGCTTGCTGACAACGCGTCGGTCGACAACTCACAGTGTCGAGCATCTGCTCCAGAATAGGCACGGGGACCGTCAGCGTCACCCAATCCTCAGCGGGCGAGCGGTCCAGAGTGGTTGTGTTGAATCCGAATGTCGCAAGCCACTCGTCGACGAGAGCCAGCGTCGTCGAGCGCGGCCGCACGAGCGATTCGACGTCCTGTTTCGTCATATGCGCGCCGTAGCGAGCATGGTCCGGGTCGCTGATTTCATACAGTCGGCGCTCAAGCTCATCAAATTGACCCTGCATCAAGGCAATCCGCAGCCGCACAGACAGATGAGGCGGCGCTCGGTCGATCCGCGTCCATCCCGCAGGCGGGGCGTCGATAGATTCCTTGATTCTGGACACACGGTCCGGCACGAGCGCGCCACTGGCCGCCAGAAAGAAGTCGAGGACCAAAGCCAAGAAGAAAAGCATCGTCTTGATATTCTCTGACCTCCACGGTCCACTTATATCCTGCCCAGAAGACTTTCATTTGGGCCACGAGCGCTCTAATCGCGCCTGGTGGCGGTTCGGTAAAATTCCAGCGTGCACACACCATCCGGGGCTTCTGCGAAAGGACTTCGAAAGACAAACAGGCATCTGAGACTTCTGAGCGGCTGAAGCTTTGAAGGATTGCGTCGGAAAGTATGCACAGAACAATTCGCGGGAAGGAGATATACAGGATCGCGAGGCAGATTTGATCGTCACAAGTATCTTCTGGACCCAAATTCACAGTCAAATCTTTGCCCAGCTGCCATATGCGGCATCTTCCGGAACAAATATGGCGAGCGAAGAAAGATGCACTCCAGTCCTACTGCACTGCCGGATCCAACGTGCAATCGCATCGAAAGGTGTACCAGAAAAGCAGCCGGCACAAAACACCTCATACTACATCGACCCGATGCTACATTCTACAGGACCTCGTTCAGAGAAACCTCACCCGAGCCACGCTTCAATGGTTTGGGCTGACTAGGTGCGGGCTTCCAGCCGATCTAGATCGAATAACGATTATTCTTTGAGACGAGGAACGACAGAGGACTTGCCATATATATTACTTGGAACGTTGCGGGGATACTTCCGTCTTCCGAGCCATGAAGTGCTGTGGTCCTTATGTATGCGACCCAGGACGCGAGTGGGAAGTGGTCTAACTCACCTGGGTAGATCGCAGACGCAGCTGCCAGTGTGTCCCTTCGAAGGGCGCGTTTGGGCCCCAGAATAGCATTGCCTTCCCCCATGCTACCAAGGTCATCCATCAAAGCCCACATGTTCGGATAGGCGACCTTGACTTCATCGATGTCGATGGTAAGTAACGAGAAGCCAGCGCGTCCCATTAGATTAGAGATATCCCGTGTGTCTGAGCTGGAATAAGCAAAGAAGGTCGGAAGAATGGAAAGCCCTGAAAGCAGACTGGTCATTGGGGAGATACGGGCAGAGACCCCGCCTTCTCGTTCTACTTCCGCTAACTGCAGCGAAGTCCTGAGCTCAAATAGCGTGTCACCGCCAAGCATCGCGCCAAGGAAGAGTCCGTCTGGAACGAGCGCTTCGCGTATCTGAGCAAGAGTACCTGCTCCCAAACGTGAGCAGCGCGCGCAACACGTACTGAAGATGACGAGAACCTGGCAGGTCATTGACCCAATGCAAGCTAAGACACGACACAATGGCCTCCTGCGAATTGGGTTCCACGATCTGGAGCAGGTTTTCTTCGTCTGCGTGGATACGCTCGACTTCCACTACGTGTATAGCACGGATGAGTATCAGGCCGCAACAACATATTACATGGCGAGCGGCGAACCTTCGAAGTCCGAGTCCGGATCGCGTCGTAGGGTGTTCTCTGGTAGGCAGAGCAGTTCAAGCAGCGTAAGAGACAGCAGATGGACTTGACCAACCACTGGAGTCCACCATAATAACCTTACGCGCCTTGTCAGGCTCCATAAGTTTCGTGAAGTGCCCTGGACCAGACCCCAGATCAAGGATAGTTCCAAACGTTCTTTTTATGTCCTGAGCACAATTGAGCGTGCCAATAGAGCGGACCGCTGCACTTACCATGAACCTCTCCATCATTCGGTCCGCGACTTCGTCGCGCACGTAATCTACTGTCCTGCTGCCTTCGCGTAAAGCAGCGCGGTCTTTCTGGATTCTCTTGACATTCCTGTCAAATACTTGGTAAGGCCCAAGAGTGTACGGATTCGGGGCTGGTGACGCAGAGGAGATGGCCGCGCGACGCGCGAGAGAGCGAAGCATAGGTACGTGCGTTGGTGGCGGTGCTCATGGCGGTGTCGCGTTGCTTGCGCCTGTTACCCGATTCGTGAAATTTCTGCCACTCCCGAAATGTCCTCAGATTCGGTCGCTATCTTCGGAGAAGGGACGTTTGAAGAGCAGGTGCAGCCTACCCTGCCCCGTTTTTAGATCGTCTCTTATGTCGCGGCCCAGATCCAAGAGCTTGTCAACTATGTCGTCCGAAGCAAATCAGAGGAGGAGCGCCCTGCGTCTATCCGACCGTACCAAGATGCGCTGAAAACTGAAGAAGATGCGACGCCCCTTGCGGAGGATGATGAGCGTAGGAGAAAGGTCTTGCTGATGGTGCTGGCCGATGTCCAGTCTCTGGGAGAGGGTTCCGAAAAAGGTGCGTCGGCAATCCACATCTAACGCGTCTGCAGTCGAGATGGATTGACCCTGCCTTAGAGATCGAAGGCTTCTTCAACTTAATATACGCTCACCTTCTCACTCTGTTCCCCGCCGACTCGCCCGACGTCAAGACATCCGTCACCGCACTGATCAAAACTATCTCGTCTGCCCCGGTCGAGCAAGCCACCATCAAATACCGATTGTAGGTGCCATTATCCACGATGCATCGCATATGCTAGTTTCGACCGTTCGCGACTGTTCTCATCAGATGCTAGGCTCTCTAACCTCTTCAACACCCTGCCGCGAAAATCTCCGTTACGTCTCCAAGTATACACCACCATTTTGCAACTGGCAACCTCTCGCGAGGAACTCGAGGCCCTGCAACTCACCCGCGTTGATGTCGAGAGATGGTTGCTCGAGTGGGACGTTTCTGCCGAGGAGAAGAGCAGCTTCTTGAAGTCGATCTCGGAGGCGTACCGCCAGGCCCAGCAGCTGTAGGTGTTTATCCTCCCGGCATCGCTCATCAGCTTACTCAACTACCCAGCCCCACTTCCTACGAATACTCGATCGCATATGTTCGGTCGCTCTCTGCCGGTTCACCATCATCAGAAACAGCGGCGGTCGAGCTCATCGCCACCGCACTCCGACTGCCGTTCGTCTTCGATTTTGATCCTCTCTTCAAGCTCGATGTGGTCGTGGCCGCCAAGAACCACGAACTCTTCGGACTTCTGCACATATTCCTCAACGACAGTCTGCCCGCGTTCTCGGCGTGGGCTGATGCTCATCCTGCCGCATTCGAGACTTATCACCTGAACAAGTCTCAACTGGCACGCAAGATCCGTCTCCTCACTCTCGCATCCCTGGGCTTCAAAAACATCGGGCAAGATCTGCCATACTCGAAAATCGCGGAAGCGCTCCAGGTCGAGGCTTCCGAGGTCGAAAAATGGGTCATCGACGGTACGTGGACACGATCAGACCCCGATTCCTGCTGTGCTCATGATCCCGGAAATCAGTCATCCGTGCGGGGCTTCTCTCGGGGAAGTTGTCGCAGACGGCGCAGACCGTGCGTGTGATTCGTGCGACATCGAGGTCGTTTGAGAAGGAGCAGTGGGAATTGTTGGAGAAGCGACTAGTTGCGTGGAAAACGGGCCTCGCTGGTGTACTCGACGTCGTTGCTGCAGCACGGAAGCAGGCCGTGCCGAGCAGTGTTCTTCAGGCACAGGTGGCTGCTTGATTCTAAGTGTATGTATGTAGCATCTATTGAAGACAGCCTTGCGCCGCTACCATTCGCCATCGAATCCGGAGAAACCTAGAGAGATCAGCTTGTATCAGCAAGGCATGCAGCACTACATGCTCACCAGTCAAGAGGAATATGTGAAAGTACCGCTTCTTCTCTAACGTCGAACACCAGTTCCAGGCACTGGTCAGCCTTCCATCGATGCAGCTGCCGGCGTCAAAGAAGTTGTCCGCTGGAAGCAGGGTGATCAGTAGACGCCACAGCGAGCACGAAAACATGACGAACCGCCGGAGCCTAAACGAACATTCCGTTAGATAGATGCTGGGCGCGTGAGAGAGGAAGGAAGGAAGCAAGACTGACCATCGAACCCATGCCGGAAAAAGTCCCCCAAGATCTCTCGTCGCAGATTATCCGGGGACCCAAACTCATCGTCAATGTATGAGCGAATCGCTGACTTGGCTGCGAGGCCATCGATTTGAGACAGAGTGTTGCAGATCGGGAGAAGAATGCGATAGATCTGAGTGTATTTGTCGATGAACATCAAACTACACGGTGGGACAGTCAGCACACGAGCTTGTTGGCGTCGGCCAAGGCTGACCTGTTGGGCACATTATGATCTCCCATATGCTGCAAGGGAGTGAGAACGGGAGAAATCACGGCAGACTTTGGCTTCACGCACGATCACACTGTTCGAGATTTTTCAGCGATACATAAAGGATCCAGACTCAACAGCGAAGTTTACCTCGAACCAATCCACTGTCCAACACTCTTTTGCGCCTTGTTCAAGATTTGGTGCATGAGCCTCGACGTCTTCGGCGCAGCCTGAACGCGATTGAGGCCCTGGCCTGTGTCTCTCAGCCGGTAGGGCACCTTTTCAGCGAGAAGGTCGGACTCGGCCATGCTCCATCTGCAATCCGAGTTGACCGCAGCTGCAATAATCATGCGTTGGGAGCACCCACAAATGAAACATGTCGTGGAGGATCTCTCGCCACAGGGTCAGACTTTGCAGCACATAGGCGTATTGCTTGCTGTGGTCGTGCGACAGCCGGGCGCCGTTCTTGCCACTCCGGATAGCTAGACTGCTCTTGGAGTCCTTGCCGTCAGTGGGGTGGAAATACTGCTTAAGATAGGAAAGCATGCGGTCGCAAGGATCCCGGTTTGTTCGCAGGAAGGCGTGGTTGTCGCCGATGCTGTACAGGCAGAGCCGGACGTCGTCAGGGGACAGCCCGTCTCGACCATATCGAGAAGCAAGGGACTCAATCGCGCGCTCCTTGGACTTGATTTCCCTCTGGATATCCCGTCGCGAGCGGCCCTCCGCGTAGATCTCCTTGGTCGCAGTGGTGATGAGGTCATCACGAAGAAGCTCGAGGGCACTGTGCTCTTCGAGCTTGGTGTAGACGCTCTTGATCGGTCTTACGCAAGTGAAATTAAGCAGATCTTTGACTTCGGATGATTGGCTGTCCCTGAATTCTGCTTCGTTAGTGCGTTTCATGACGCAGAGGCCATCGCACGACGAACTGGAGCATGTAGATGAGTTTCCCGTACGTTGTCCGCATCTTGTCCGGATTCATGATCTTGTGTCGCCGCCCGAGCTCGAAGATCTGCTGATAGAACTCGGCGTTGGCCTGGAAATCCCGGTCCGTGAAGAGTTCTTGTCCACGCTTGTAGTCTGCGGACAGAAGCAACCCTGACATGATGGCACACAGCTCCCGGATCTGCTGCACAATTCTTTTCGCCTTGGTCATGCTGAAGCCAATGGTATCGATTTTGTCGGTGTACTCGGACACGGAAAGTGCCGCCTCCAGGAGCCGAAGAAATTTCCGCTCGCCCAGGTTCAGGCGCAGAGGGATGAACTTGGAGCGCTCCACGAACCATTCACCGACGGAGCTCCCTACAGCGGGCTGGGAGGACAGAAGGACGGTGGTCGCAGCAGGCCCAGGGACGACGCGCTCCCACTCGTCATCGTCATCGGAATCAGGCTCCGTTTCCATCTGCTCAGACGCGATCAACACGCGGGGGGCCGTCGAACGAGCTCATCAGCACCCACCGCATCCGCATCCGCCGCCACCGCCGAGTGGGGAGCCGGGTCCGTCCCGTTGGACGATGACGCGTGCCCTGGCGCGCGCAGGGTTTTTGCCGCATGTAGCTTACGCGTGCCTTTGCGGTGCTGCGATGCAAAACACACTTCGCAGAAGACGTCCTCGCAGTTTTCACACCGAATCTCAGCAGGCTGGTCTAGTGGTAATAAGTACGGAGTGCCGTGAATAGAAGTCGAGAGCGATCTGGGAGGTTGCGGCACCTTCGCATTCGACGCACATGCCCTCCTCGACCGGCTCGGCGTTCATTCCATCCTCCTCCGTGTCTAGAGCAGCCGCCGTCCCATCTCCGACGGTCTCTATACGCTCGTGGTCTTCCCCAAGGATATTGTCCAGGGAGAACTTGGCCTCCATGCTGGAAGTCCGAAAGAGGGTGCACCGAACACGTGCCCCAAACAAGTGCACTTTTTTTGGCCGTGGAGCCCGTTGAGCCCGACTCCAGGGATCGGTTATTTGTCTCTCTTGCGTACACAACCCACTCTCCACACCTTCACCCTTGAAAGCATGCCTGCGGTGCTGCGTACATAACAGCCTGCACGGTGCACCCCAATAATATGCTGCCTCGGGCTTGAATGGTTCTGGCTTATTTGCATGTCGAGTTTAAGGACGGCTCGATGACAAGCAACGGGTCACTCACACCGAGGGATTGCGAATATCACGGCCCATAAAGAATCAATTATATTCTATATATTGGGGGATAAAAAATGAAGGGATCTGATATGTGACATATCGGGCACCCGGATCATACCCGGCACCCGATATCCGTGGTATCAGGTCGTTTTTGCGCTGATATGTGACATATCAGGTCAGCTTCTTTTTGGGTCACGATATATGGAAATATTTATTCTTTATGGGCCGTGTTATGTGTGATCCCCCGGTGTGACTTGAGTTCTCACTGCAGCTTATCGGGAGAAGCAGAGATTGCGCCTGGACAGTGGGTCTTAGACCCAACGGAGACGCGTGGTGATGGGCGGTGGCGATAATCCGGCTGTCTAATGGGTCTCATCTTACGTTGTCTCAGACTGCTTCCTTCCGACCATCTCCTTTCCCTTCCTTCTTACTTAAGTTAAAACCTCTGCAGCTGCACAGCCGTGTCTCTTGTATATCGCTTTGCTTTTTGATCTCTCCCCCCATGGCGCTCGTTCAACTATCCACCTTCCCCGAAGAGCTGCTCGAGTGCATCCTCGCGCACGTCGTCGTCGGTTCTGCGACACCCAGAACACGCCCCTCCTGGCACCAGCCCGCTGCCGCGAAGGACATCCGGACTCGACTCGCTCCTCTGCTTGTATCCCAACAATTCTATCGTATCTCTCTCCCGCTATTTTACGAGACGGCCGTCTTGTGCACCCCCTCCCAATCAGCCAACTTCCTGCACGCGCTCGAGACTCGCCCTGCCGCAGCCGGATTTGTGAAGACCCTGGTGCTCCCGGCGCCTAATGCTGTGGACGCGGAGATCGTCGAGCTGCTGTGTCAACACGGGGCCTGCATGTGCTCGATGTCACGCTGCTGGGCGACCGCGGAGATGCGAGTGCACGCACCTGTCCTGCGGTCGCCGAATCGCTTGGTCGTATCTCGACACTTCGGAAGCTCACGATCAGAAGGCTTCGAATACCTATCTTTCCCAGCCGGGCCCTAGATCAACATTGGATGCGCTGGCCGGTGTCGTGGAAACCTGTGGTCACTGGTACGTGATGCGTGCTTCTGCTTCTGCTTCTTGCCCTAGCGCTGGCAACTGATACGCTATCTCCAGGAATCCGTAGCTCTCGCGTTCCCGCTCTCCGCCGATGCAGCTCTCTCACGGCTCGTCGAAGCCCTCGCAATCGCTCCCGAAATGCATACCCTCCGGACACCGATGCCGGCAGTCTGGCCCCGGCGATGCTCTCCGTTGCAATTAATCCGGCGCTGAAGCGAATCGAGCTAGAGTCGGCAGACGCCGAATCTGCTGCACATGGCTCCGTGTCTGCTGTCCGGCGGACTTGCACTGCTACCTCCCCAGCCGCGGGTGACAGATGCTACGCGACGGCGGTGCCAGCTGCCCGTCGAGCCCGCGGGGTGCTCGGCACGTCGCTTTCCTCACGGCCGCGCGCCAGCACCACCGCCTGAGCGAGCTGATCCGCGCGGGCACGGTCGTGCTCGGGTGGCGCGGGCGTGCGTGGACCTGGGGAGCGTGGACCCCAGTACACTGCAGCTGCAGGCGTCGTCGAGCGCGGGTGGTGCGAGTGCCTGCTAAGCGCGCGGGGCAGCATCTCCTTATGGAAGGTCGGGGCCCACACAGCGTTCCCTCGGCTATCTCGGTCGTGATCGAGTCACCGTCAGGTGTATATAAAACCCACTGTCGTCGGCAACGGGCGTGGGACCAACGGACGGACTGGAGCAATTTTTGGATATCTGATTCTAAGGGCCGTTTATTTGGATGTAAACTACCGTACACTCTGTGTAATAGTCGCTGAATCGCGAACACTTCTTAGGCTGAGTCCATCGCTCATGCTACATACCACTTAACTTGCTAATGTAACGCATTTGGGATCGTGACCTGATGATGATATTATACACTCACCGAGGCTACCCGACTTCCCAAGGCCGCAAAAGGCTCGCCAGTCTCCACCCTCTCTAGCCAATCGCGTCATTCTAGTGTGATATGGGCTATGGCCCGTGGGTCGTGCATACTCACACCTCGTCTCTGTTCTACCACCACCACAGCAGCAACTTGCACGATGTCCCAAGCCCCGGTGCACTCGAGCTTTGAGGCGAAGAACGCGCCGTACGTCGAGACGTTCGGCGACAAGAGCCTGCTTCCTATCCCGCCTGCGAAGAAGATCGCTATCGGTAAGTCCGAGTCCATGGACAGACGGGGATCGACGCGGTACTGAATTATTTGTTGTGGTGCCAGTGACCTGCATGGACGCTAGACTCAAGTAAGCACCACCCGAACCGTCGCATTTTACTGAACATCGCCGCAAA